TTAAGAAAATGAGTGGTCCTATTGAAGCAATTGGGATGCCTCACCTATTTATGCTTCGCTGGATGGGAAAACAAATTTCTCTAACACCCTGCTTATGTACCTCAACTGATGACAAAGTGATGTGAAAAGGTATTTCAGTTTTCATGGTCCATTCTGTCCATAGCTTCTTTACTGAAACGGTTTGCTGTGGAACCAATTAATCCTTTTATAATCTAAGAGTTCTCCATAACAACAGTGGTGTTGCAGGTTATCTACTACAGAATCTTCTCTTAGCTTCTTCTATGAACAGCTAGTTTTATTTTGATCTGTAAGGAAGAAGTTAAACCATACTGTGCTTTTTATAAATCTTTAAACTTGTGTAATAGATATGGCCTTTTTGAAGTGCATTTTTTCCATAACCTAGTTCTGCTATTTCATTATTTTAGTGGACGTTAACTTGCTTCTAACTCAGTCTGCACTGCAAAAAAGGCTTCAAGCTTTGCCAATAGCTTGGGAGTGGCCTATGAAGTCAATGAAAACCACAGAGGTAACTAGCAAACCATTTCCAACTCTCCCAGAAGATTAAGAAGTGTCAGATAAAAGTTGAAAAGATAAAAGAATTAGTTTAGGATTTTGAAGGCTTAGTGGAGGAAAAGTTTTGCTATTATACAGTTAGAATCATCATGTCCTATTTAGCCAACTGTGAATAGCAGGGATAACGTATTGGCCAGAAGTGGCAAAAATCCTGGTTTGAGTATAGAGTCCATATGAACAAAGCAAAGAGAAGTACTCCTGAAAGCTGATAAGCCAAACTGAACCCAGATGTAATTCCAATGAAGTCACTATATTTACACAATGCATAAATCTAATCCTATATAAGTGCCTACCCCCACTTGTTTCTTAGATTGCTATGTTTGAGAATGTTATTTCCAGCAAAGTTTGAAGTTCATCTCATTAATTTAGGTCCTCCTGATCCTGCAAATATTTACTCATGGGAATAAGCTGTGTGAGTAATCCCATTGAAGTCAATACTTCTTGTGTCAGTGAAGTTTTACACATAAGTGCCTTAGATTCTAAACTTACAATGCAGGGAATAGGACAATCAGCACTATATGAATGGATTGTGATAACAGTAATAGCTTTCATCAACTTTATTGTACCTTCAAAAAGCTATTTTCACAAAAAAGGTTTCTTTTTTTTTCAACGAAAGAAAAATGTTGACTGTTTGGTATAGCACAGGGGTAGGCAACCTTTCAGAAGTGGTGTGCCGAGTCTTCATTTATTCACTTTAATTTAAGGTTTCGCGTGCCGGTAATACATTTTAATTTTTTTTAGAAGGGGTCTCTCTCTAAGTGTATATTATATAACTAAATTATTGTTGTATGTAAAGTAAACAAGGTTTTCAAAATGTTTAAGAAGCTTTATTTAAAATTAAATTAAAATGCTGATC